TCATTAAATTAATGTGACTTTTACAGCAGTAAATCATTAAATTAATGTGACGTTTACAGCAATAAATAATTAAATTAATGCTGAAAATCAGCAGTTGTATGAGCTAAGCGTTGTAAGGATTTCTGGTATTTTTAGTTATAGACGTATTACTTGAGCTAAGCGTTGTAAGGATTTCTGGTATTTTTAGTTACAGACGTATTACTTGAGCTAAGCGTTGTAAGGATTTCTGGTATTTTCAGTTAGAGACGTATTACCTGAGCTAAGCGTTGTAAATATTTCGAGTATTTTCAGTTACAGACGTATTACTTGAGCTAAGCGTTGTAAGGATTTCTGGTATTTCCAGTTACAGACGTATTACTTAACTTCTGATATTCTTTGCGGCTCGTGTATTTGTGACATACAGACGTTGATGTTTCTACTTACCCGATACACTGGTTGGAAGAAGATTGCTCAGAACAGCAATGGGCAACATGGTTAGCAGAGATCCCGCCCATATCCACACAATCACTTTATAAGAATGGGAAATGGTCTGCCATTGGCGGGACTGAAACGGCCGACAGATGGCGAAGAATCTTTCGAGTGATATAGAGACCAGAGTCCACACACTTACCGAAACGGACACCGCTGAGGGACAAACATAAAAAAAAGAAATATATCGGGAGGGAAACATGTTAATAAATCTTGCGGCAAGTACTTATACTTATCAAAAATTACACACAATATATATATATATATATTTCTTTGATAATGGGTAGATGATAGTCACCTAAGGCCAAATATACGTGTTTTAAGTTCATCAAACAGCTTGTGCTTTAGGAAATAAGATTGTTTAATAAAGACGTATTAAAAAAAAATTCAAATTCAAATACATACTTGACCTTCCACAGCTAATCCAATTTCTTAAACCTAACTTAGTACTTCGTTATGAGTAAAAATTAATAGATTTCGTCTCTAATAGAAGCAGTTAAAAACAATCATCACTTGAGAAGAGTTGAAATGAATTAAGGCCAGAATGTGGGAAACCCTGAACGAGACTCTTTACAAAATGAACGACAACTGCTGTGCCACTGGGGGCATTTAATACTGATAAGTTGACAAGTATCCCGACTACAAATCAAACTGGTTGGTTTCCAAGAAATTTGATGTGTTTAATATATATATATAAGGAAAGAAAGAGACTGTCCACATCACAAGAACCATAGTAACCACGAGGAAGCAGAACTTCGACGAAAATATGAAGTAGCAGAGAAGAAAGATAAAACAACCTATAATCTACACAGTCACCTATCCCAACCTGGAAACCCTTTCAAAGTGCATTCAGAAAATCTACAGGATAGATCTTTAAAAAAAAAAACTCCACTGATACACACACAAAACTCTCCAGGTTTGGTTTGTTTTAAATTTCGCGCAAAGCTACACGAGGGCTGTCTGCTCTAGATAGAAGTTAGAAGTGATAGATTAGAGGGAAGGCAGTTAGTTAACACCACCCACCGCCAACTCTTGGGCTACTCCTTGACCAATGAATAGTGGGATCGACCGTAACATTATAATGCCTCTACGGATGAAAGGGCGAGCATGTTCGAGCGCCCTAACCACAACGTCATGACAGGTCAACTCTCCAACACCCATAACAGTCAAAAAATGTAATCAACTTGATTTCGTAGATAGGCGTCAATGATTACTTAAGCGAAATAATAAAGTCGGTTAAACTAGGAATCCAAGAACATAAACACTACCCGAGAGTCTGGAGAATCCAAGAACATCAACACCACTCGAGAATTTGGAGAATCCAAAAACATCAATACTACCCGAGAATCTGGAGAATCCAAAAACATCGACAGATTCTCGGGTGGTGAAGAATCCAAGAACATCAACACCACCCGAGAATCTGGAGAATTTAAAAACATCAATACCACCTGAGAGTCTGGAGAATCCAAGAACATCAACACCACCCGAGAATCTGGAGAATTTAAAAACATCAACACCACCCGAGAGTCTGTAACACCGGCTATTCATCAATTGCATTACACGCCAGGGAAAATAATAAGATACAGTGAAAAGATAATAGAGCAATGAGCCAGATAGTTCTTCTCATAAACATAAATACACATGCAAAACTTCTGTTAACTCACTTCAGCAGATAGCATTCCCATTTCTAAAACCATGGGTTCGAATCCCTCAAAATTCCTTCCTCAGGGCTGCATACCTTAAGCCGGCGGCCGAAATGTAATATCTAAGTTAGTTAAACGGTTAATTTAGTTTGGAAACTGTAAAATTCAAAATTTCTTCTTCTGTTAAAAATTATTAGGTTCTAGCCTTCCACTACAATATTATATTAGGTTCTAGCCTTCTACTACAATATTATATTAGGTTCTAGCATTCCACTACAATATTGTATCAGGTTCTAGCCTTTCACTACAATATTGTATCAGGTCTTAGCCTTCCACTACAATATTGTATCAGGTCTTAGCCTTCCACTACAATATTGTATTAGGTCTTAGCCTTCCACTACAATATTGTATTAGGTTCTCGCCTTCCACTACAATATTGTATTAGGTTCTAGCCTTCCACTACAGTATTGTATTAGGTTCTAGCCTTCCACTACAATATTGTATTAGGTTCTAGCCTTCCACTATAATATTGTATTAGGTTCTAGCCTTCCACTACAATATTGTATTAGGTTCTAGCCTTCCACTACAATATTGTATCAGGTCTTAGACTTCCACTACAATATTGTATTAGGTTCTAGCCTTCCACTACAATATTGTATTAGGTCTTAGCCTTCCACTACAATATTGTATTAGGTCTTAGCCTTCCACTACAATATTGTATTAGGTTCTCGCCTTCCACTACAATATTATATTAGGTTCTAGCCTTCCACTACAATATTGTATCAGGTTCTAGCCTTTCACTACAATATTGTATCAGGTCTTAGCCTTCCACTACAATATTGTATTAGGTCTTAGCCTTCCACTACAATATTGTATTAGGTTCTAGCCTTCCACTACAATATTGTATTAGGTCTTAGCCTTCCACTACAATATTGTATTAGGTTCTAGCCTTCCACTACAATATTGTATTAGGTTCTAGCCTTCCACTATAATATCGCTATGAATATTTACACTATTAATATTTACTTGTTTAATGTAACTTTATTACAAGTTTTTACGTTTTCGTGTTGGATTAATTCATTGTATGGTTTAGTTTTATTTAGAAAATGATTTATACAAAAAGTACAGATGTTGGTTTGTTTTGAATTTCGCGCAAAGCT